CGCAGGAGGTTCCGGCGCTGTGGACGCGAGGGCCCTGGCGGGGGGCAGCCGGAGGGAGAGCTGCGTTGCGCGGTCGGGTTGGAGGTGTGGGTGGTTCCGGGTTCGCTGAAGACCCCGCCGGGTCGCTGCTGTGAGCCGGGCGCGCACGTGTGTAACCTGCCTGCTTTAGGCACTGCTTGGGAGGGGCCGAGCGGTGCGCATCGAGGGTGAGCGGCTGTTCGTAGTCGAGCAGGGCGCTGATGGAACTCGGCTGCTAAAAACACGACCCTCGGTGTTGTCAGTTTCACTTCACTTGCACCGCCAGAGGTGACTGGAAAGCAGCAAGCCTGTTGTTTTGATGCGCGGTGTGTGTGTCTCTTGCAGATGTCGGAAGACCTTGCTAAGCAGTTAGCTAGCTACAAAGCTCAGCTTCAGCAAGTTGAGGCTGCCTTGTCTGGGAATGCAGAAAATGAAGATTTGCTAAAACTGAAGAAAGACTTACAGGTGAGGACTCGAGGACGTGGGTGACTCAAACTTGAGGGTCTTTAGCAGGTGTTTCATCTTTCCTAACTACTTGCATTGCAACAGAAACACACACTTGGAGGGTTTATTGCTTTCTTTTCACGTAGTTTGGTACAATTGTGGTAGCGATGACTTGATAAAAGCCAGTGTGGCCTGTTTTAAACCTGTCTTGTAGATTAGTAAAAGATAAGTACTAATTTATATAGCAAATTCTTCAGCTAAAAACATTAGCCAGAGGGATGAAAGATGTGCCAGTGCTGTCTTTACTGTCTCTTTTTTTTTCTTTTGAAAAAGCATTTCTCAGTCATCATTCGTGTTGTTGTTGCTTTAACTATGCTGAAGCCTGATGCTTGGGCTTTACATTGTGCTTTTCTGCCTGTTTTTGAGTTGTCAATTCATTTGATCCAGGATGTGTTTATTACATGCATTGGCAATGATAAAAGCTTCCAAGTATAGTTCTGTGTTCCTTGCACATCGAAGCCTTCATTATGCTAATGTTTCTAGATAAGAAGCCTTGATTGTGTTAAGCTTTTTAGATAAGAGAGGAAGAGAGTCATGTTCTTCATTTGCCACCTGCAGTTTTTGGAACATTTGAGGGCATAGTGCGTTATTAAGAGCTGAAAAACATTTCTGGTCTTTAGGGTATTGTTTGGTGACAGTGAGACAGGGCCTTTAAATTGATCAGTGGTCTTTTAGCTTTTTGTGCATATAAAGACACATTGGCATACTAAAAACCCTAGCAGCACTGCTAAAACTTGTCCTGAGAGTGCAGGAGTCTGCTTCATTTCTGCTGTGGATTGCTTTAGCCATTAAGTCTAAAAATGCATGAATCTACCCAGTACAAGCTTCAGTAACCACTGTTCTGGATGCAAATAGCAGCAGTAAAAATGATGCCTCAGCCAAAACAGGGGTAGTGCCTCAAATCAGTGATCTTTAGAACTCCTTTTAAATTCCAAAGGCTTTGTGCCGACAAGGCACTTTATAGATCATCTGAATGTCCTTGTTGTACACTGTTAAAAGCACGTGTATATGTGTGTATTTCTGAAATGCGCAGCAAAACCCATATGGGGTGATTAGTTGTGATCCCAGCACGACCTCGGCTTTGACCTGCAGAGAGCATTGATGTGAAAGGACAACTTGCAAACTTTTTAATAAAAGCTTTCTGCACAGAATGGGGAAGATCTTTACACTTTCATCCCCAAAGGGTTTGCTATCCATATATTCCACATCAACAATGACAGTGTTTTACAGACTTAACATATACTGACCAGACAGTTGTAAAAATGGGTTTGATGCTTCAGTGTCCCAACTGAACAGCTTTTTGTCTGTTCAAAAAGATGGTTACTACATAACTAAACATTCTTTTTCTGCCATAAGTAGTGATGCCCTAGTGCATTTTGCATCCTTGTCTTATTCCTGAGTGCCAAGATTAAAACAACTATTAGAAGGAATTTGTTTAAGTCTTAGCTTTTCACTTTTTGTTTCATTGAAGCACTTCAGGGACAGTGTCTGGGCACCCAATAACCCAACTTGCCTTTTGTATCAATTAGGATTGATGGCAGTTGTCCTCTTGTGTAATGGGAGAGGATACCTGTGGGTGTTGTGTTCTGGAGTGCAGAGCTCTGTCTGGCTTGGTAAAGACCAGTTAGTCAGGAAAACTCTTGGCAAACTCTAACCAGTGTTCTCTGCAGGTCACACCTGCCTGTCACGGGGACGTGGCAGCAAGCCATGCTCAACCATGTGGCTCTGAGAGCTGCTGGGGCACTCTGGCTCCTGCTCAGGGGTTTTCTCTGGAGGAGCTATTCTGTTACAGACTTCAGAGCTTCAAATTCACTTTTCTGTCTTGTGTGCCCAGGACTATGGTGTGTGGGTAGTGGATGAAGATTTATACCCAAGTTTGCTGTTTATAGCCTGGTGTGTGACTGTATCAAATAATCTTTGGGACACTTGCCTGTAACTCTTCAAATCTGACTTCTTCACTAAGCCATCTATGAATGTGGCAAGCATACACCAATGTTTTCATATTACTGGTAGTTTGTGTAGCTGAAACACTCACTTTCAGGTAGCTTATGCCTGATGTGTTATGTTTGACCTGCCGAGACAAGATACCTGTGTCAAGCCATGATGCTTTTTGGGTTTCCCTAGTACCGCTATCTGAATGTGAGGGATAGCTTTAGGTTTTACATCTGGGAGGACAACTAGGCTAATGACATAGGTTCTGCAGAATGCTCTCAAATTAGGTAACTTGATAATCAAAATCTGTTGTGGTTCAGCTGTAGCATTATGGAACACAGCAACCCCAGCAGCAGAAGTCACTGTAAGCATGTTTCTGTGCTTAGTTGCTACTGATTGTGCTTACTGTTGCTCTTGCTAACTAGCAGCTCTAAAACAAAGAGTAGAGCTTTTGTTAGGAGGGTGTTGGAAATTCGGGCGTTAACAGCTGCAATAGAAACAGTTAGGCCATTCATGCCAGTTGTATAGTTTTCTCAGATAAAAATGCATGTAAGCTAATAGAAACTTATTATTTGGGGGCTGCTTGTGATCCTGTAGGTACTTGAGGCACGAGGAGCAGCTTCTTCACTGTATTTTCCTGAGCTCGTCTTTGAATGCCCATAGCTGAACTACATGTGAAACTGGGAAGAAAGTTCAGGCTCCACCAAACCTCAGTTGAACATTGTTTGTCTGTAACCCTCTGCTAATTTAAATATTTACTGTTATTTAGGAGAATGACAATGGTTCATGCTGAGATACGCAGAAGAACTGAAGGATTTTTCTTTAAGGAATGCAGATTTGCTTTGTCTTGTACAGAAACTTTAACTGGCCATTTACCTGTCTCCTTTGACTTCTACCACCAGTGAAAACCAGTGGTCTTGATTGCATAGAATAAGAATATAATAGTGACAGGAAGCTGGGGAGGGGCTTGTGTGTGCTCCTGTTACTTGTCTTGCTGGAATAGCCGAAGGGAGGCCAGACCTGAAATCTTAAGGTCAGGGAATTTAGAGGAAAACCAAACACTTACATGAGAATGACTTGAGGAAATCAATTTCTTTAGCATGCATATGAATGCTTTCTATAAATGAGAGGGCTTTGCAGAGCAGCAGTCTTGCAGAGATGCTCTTCCAGCCGGGCTCTTCCTGATTCAGTTCAGCCAATCCACATATTTTTGAGTAACTCAAAAATGCTTCATCACTTAGAAATGCTGCAATTATACTTGTGGTGGTTGTGTGTTTTGGAGATTACTATATATAGTATAGCCAGCCAGGCCCAAAGGGGAAGGGATGGAGGAAACAGGGAGCTGCAGAGAGAACAGAAGTGTTGCATCCTTTCCCATTTTTGTCTCCAGAGCTCTGCCACATCCTGTGGGATTTTGTTTTGGTCAATAACCCAACATCATGTGTTCAGTCACACCATTGATTTTTTGGGGGGGGTTTATTGAGCCTGTCTAGCTCTGCCTTTGTGCCTGTGGATACACAATTCACCTAGAAAGAAGTGCTATAAAAATAATAGCTACTGTTAGAAATCTTGGGGAGGGCAGTGGTAACTTTACTGCAACACAGTGAGGACCACACATCTTTTGATCTACACTGGCAATGAGTGAGTTCAGTTAAATGAGTAAAAATCCAAGCCAAACTTAGTCCACTTTACATCATCTACGAATTGAATTCAGTAACTTCAATCCCCCGAAACAGTAAACTTGGGTAGAAATGCACATGGTAACAGAGCCTGAAAAATTGTTCTTTGTGGCTTTTTTGTCTTTTCTAGGAAGTCATAGAATTAACCAAAGATCTCCTTTCAACACAACCTTCGGAAACTCTTGCAAGTTCTGACAGCTCTGCTTCTGCCCTGCCCAGCCACTCCTGGAAGGTTGGGGATAGGTGTATGGCGATATGGAGTGAGGATGGACAGTAAGTGTAGAAAACTTCTCTAACAGTTACATGAAATAGTGCAATGGTAAGAGATTTTCATTCAGTTTGAACTGCCCCTAGGGTGACTAACAGCAAAAAGCAAGTAGGAAATACATCTGATATTAGGTATTCTTGTACTGTCTTCATTAAAGGTCAGTGTTTTGGATGAAAAGCAAAGAGATGGGGGTTATTCTCTAGAAATGCCCTGTTTGTCACTAACCTAATAAAAGTAGAGTAGCTTTGGTAAATGACCCTTTGCTAACATAATACATGGCAGACTCTCAGGAACTGACCTGTGAGGACAGGCTTTTGTAAAGGTTTTGGGATCTGCAATTCATAATTTGTCATTGCATTCATATCTATGTAATTGGCTGCTATCAGGAAAAATCCTTCTGCATCTCCATTCGTGCCTCTAATTGGAAATGAGTTTTTAATTGGAGATGATGGGTTTTGGCTATGAAATAACCAGCTTGTAACATAACTATAGAATTAATGAAGGTTTTGGATCTGGTCTCCCATTGCCTGTGAAACTCTGGGAAGCCAAGCAGTAGATTGTGACTTCAGAATCCTTGAAATAAACATTCTAAAATTACCTTTCAGACTGCAAATAACTGTTGCAGCTTTTTAAAAATCACTGTTTATGCAGGACTAATATCCCAGTCATTAGCACTTAGAGAGAAGCTCTTGTTCAGTGAACGTGGTTCTAGTAACAATGTAGTGACTGCATAGAGATTGTGTTATAGCTGTTGATGTCTTAGGTAGAAAACAAACCTAAAAGTGAACAGTTTTTCTGTTATAGATTGTTAATGAGTAAAATGCTTTTGTGTAATAACCAGAACTTTAAAATTGAATCTTACCAATCAACTTAGGACACCATTGGCTCAATCTTCTTGCTCTGATCACTAGGGTAGAGGCCTAGAGCCTGGGGAAGAATGTGCCAGAGTGTCCACTGAAGTGGATCTGACTGGATTTCGTTGTATTGCTTCCTTCCCCCCCCCACTTCTGTTGCAGCACTTTTTAAGTGACCAGTGTTTGCTGATGAGCCAGAGGTTAACACTTTGTACCTCAGGCAGTCTGGGTTTCCATGTATTTTCATCTAGCTCAACTCAAAATGTGGGTGGCCCATCAAAATCACACCAGAAATTAATTTAGACAATGTAAACTGACTACAGTTTATTAAACATCTCCTTTTATTCCTCTGTTTGCTTTGGATGTGTCCTTTTGCTCTTAATTTAGACTCAATTTAAATATTTTTGGAAATGTCTTGTCTTGTTTTCCTCCTCCCCATTATGAGGTCTATTTGACCAAAATCATCCAGCTAAATATTAAATGGGCTGTTTTCTGCTCAAACTTCAAAATTTCTATTGTAAATCAGTAAGAACACTTTTAATTTTGTAAGAGTTGAAGAGGGAATATTTTGAAAGCTTTGGTTTTTCTTAATTCTTTTTCATATGGAGAAAAATGGAACCAAAGCTTTGCTCTGGTGAGCTGACATTTTCCAGCCCTCCTTGGTGAATTCCCTGACAGCTGTATTCTGTGGATGTAATTCCCTGAAAGCTGTATTCTGTGGATGTGGTATTTTGTTGGATGCTTTTCAGTGCCATGACCTGCCAGAGCTAGAACCAAATCAGGGTATCTGATTAGATCGGCCCCAGCATTAATCATGAGTCTTTAACTGTGAGGCCATTGCGTCTGGCTACTAAAGGTCAAATACAGCAGATTCCAGTCTTTGTACTGGTACCCCTCTGACCTTAAGAAAATAATCACAGAATGGTTTGGGTTGGAAGAGACCTTAAAGCTCGTCCAGTTCCAACCCCCTGCCATAGGCAGGGATACCTTTCACTAGAGCAGATAATCTCTTGGTTTGTGTATTGACCTTGAAAATGAAGGCTGATGTTTGCAGATTCTTTACTTAATGCCATTAGCTGGCTGACAGTGTAGGTGTTGAAAGGCTGAGTATTAAAGCTTTACTCACATGCTTACAGCCATGATATCTTTACAGGTGTTATGAAGCTGAGATTGAAGAAATAGATGAGGAGAACGGAACAGCTGCAGTCACATTTGCTGGATATGGCAATGCTGAAGTTACACCTCTGTTCAACCTCAAGCCTGTGGAAGAGGGAAGAAAAGCAAAAGAGGACAGTGGCAACAAACCCATGTCCAAGTGAGTAACACACAGGTGGCTGCTATGATGGGTGTTATGTATCCTGGCAAGAGAACACGATGGGCTTTGTTTTCGCTTGTATTATGCTATCTCAAGATATCAAGTATGTAAGAGGTAGATTAAAAGGAGGTTAGTATGTGTAAACTGACAGCAGAGCGCTTGCAAGTTCCAGCCCAGGTCTAGTGCAGGCTGTGCTCAGAGCTGGGATTTGCCTAACTACAAGAATACTTCCCAGTAGGAAGGGCTTCTGCCCTAGCCCTGCATTAGGATAGCTGTGTTGACCCCATCACTGGGGAGATGTGCTTTACTCCATGGCCTGCTGTGTCTAACACAGAAAGGTGTTTTTAAGAGCTGAAACCAGTTTTCTTTTGCAGGAAGAAGGCAGTATAATTTCAGCCTCTTATAGGCCTTCCCTAAGAGATCATTCTGAGGGGCATAGATCAACTCCTTGAACTTCCTTATCTTTACTGTATTAACATTGTTCTTTTCCTTCCATCCTTGTCCAATACTTGGTAACATGAGAGTCCTTCAGACCTCCAGAATGTTTGGGCTTTTCAGTCAAATGGGCTATTTAACTTTTCCAAACCCTTGATGCTTCTGAAATGTATAAGCACTGATGGGTGCTTTCACAGATGAACTACTGCACCCCCAGTCTCATGGGCACTGCCTTCGGCATGGCCTTATTGAGGTGCTGGTGGTTGTTCTTATGCCCAAATATATAAAATAAACAAGGTAGTGCTTATGCATAGGAAGACTTGGGTGTTCCTAGAAGTGGAGAGTATTTCCAAGTTATGTTTTCTGTTATTTACTTACGGAGAACTGTTGTGCGTGTCTGTCTTAGAGGGGTTTTAGCTTCTTACAGGCAAAGGCACAAATATATAATGTCTTTTTCCCTTCTTTCCAGAAAAGAGATGATAGCCCAGCAACGAGAGTATAAAAAGAAGAAAGCTTTGAAAAAAGCTCAGAGAATTAAAGAACTTGAACAGGAACGAGAGGACCAGAAAGTCAAGTGGCAGCAGTTTAACAACAGAGCCTACTCTAAAAACAAAAAAGGCCAGGTCAGTTGGGTTTTGTTAGTGTGGGAATAACAGTGGGGCATAGATTTCTGTGCACTACATTGGGAGAGTGGGGGAGGTGGTATGTAAAGGGGGTTCATCTTTGGGATTCTGAAGTGTGTGGTTTTGTACACTTAAAAGGTCTGGTTCTGTACTGGGTGCTTTTGGGAGTGCTGCTCTGCAGAGACTGAGCTTGCCCTTAGCTTGGAAAGCTGCTCACTGGCAGCTGCCAGGTTGTGTTTGCTGCAGCTTAGGGGTTTCGAGTGCCTGCCTGAACCTCCAAGCCTGACTTCTTGCTGTGCTTATGAGCTGGCAGACACAGCACTGAGTAATCACCCTGGAACAGCAAGCTCAGTGCAAGAAAGAGAGAGGGACTTCTTACAAGGGTATGTAGGGATAGGACAAGGGGGAATGGCTTTAACCTGCCAGAGGGGAGGTTTAGGTTAGCTATTAGGCAGAAGTTCTTCCCTGTGAGGGTGCTGAGGCGCTGGCATAGGCTGCCCCTGGAAGCTGTGGCTGCCCCATCCCTGGCAGTGTTCAAGGCCAGGTTGGACACAGGGGCTTGGAGCAACCTGCTCTAGTGGAAGGTGTCCCTGCCCGTGGCAGGGGTTGGAGCTGGATGAGGTGTAAGGTCCCTTCCAACCCAAATGGTTCTGTGATCCTATGAAAAAGGATAGCAAGGACACTTTAAAGCTTTACTTAGTTTTTGTCATGGCTTGTGCAAGAACTGCCAGACATAATGATAAAACTTCATCTTCCTATGAACAATTATTAGATATTTTCTTACAAGAGATGAATTTCATTCACTGTTGGCTTGACCCAAGGCCCCGAGTGCCACGATCACATCCAGGACTTGGGTGCCAGAAAGTTCCCAGCTCTGTCACTTTGCTTGCTGGTAACGTGTCACAATGAGCTAGCCTCTAGAAAGCGTGTCTGGCTGTAGAGTGAGAAGTTGTTCAAAGGGTTAGGATTGCTTGCTTGGGTTTTATTTTGGGAGCCAGTTAGTATTTACTCAGAATGGTGTTTTCTCTTTCATCTGCAGGTGAAGAGGAGTATTTTTGCTTCCCCTGAGAGCGTAACTGGCAAGGTTGGAGTCGGAACATGTGGAATTGCAGACAAACCTATGACACAGTATCAAGATACCTCTAAATACAATGTCAGGCATTTAATGCCTCAGTAACAGGGGGGGAAAAGGTGGAACTTCATCTCTGCAGGGCTTTACACTTATCTTTTTATCATTATATTTTTCTAAAAGTAAATTATTTGTTGGCACATCGCAAGTAGTCCGTTCTGTCACCATCACTTTGGCTTCAGCTGATATGAGCCTTAAATCTCCAGCTCTTGATTTGACCCCCTCTACCATGAAACTCTTTGTAGCTGCATTAAAAATACATTCTGCAGGTAAATGCTTTCATGAACTCCTGTTATGTGTTGCTCTGAAAGCAGTAGTTATCTGCAGTTTTGAACTCTGGAACTTTCCATTCATACCAGTATTGAGATTGGGTTTTCCGTAAGAAAAGTGGTGGTAGGAAAATGGCACCCAACAGCCTCCCTTGTTTGTGCAAGTCACAGCAGTGAGCTCAGTGTTAAAGAGCTCCATAGCTTTGGGAGAGAATGCTAAGATGGGTCTATCAGAGCTTATACATCCCATGGGATTGCTAAGGAAGTGCTAAATCACTCCCTTGCAATCCACTGAGGATGGGTTTGTACAGCTGCAAATGAGGGCAGGACAGGGCCGATAGGATCTTTATTACTAATGGTGATTCATGTGCTAGAAACAGTAAATCTGACTTGAATTCCAGTTTGGATTCCCTGCACTAGAAGTTAAGCAGAGGAGAGAGTTGGTTTGGGGTTTTTTTTTGTCTCTTTTTTTAAGTACTCATCAAATTTTATAGGAGGTTGCTGAAAGGTTATTGAAATGTAACCAGAAAACCATAGGAAGGTGTTTAGGCTCCAATTCCAAGAGAACTGTACTTAAGAATCCTCTCCCCTCCCCTCCCTGAGGATCGGGGTGTTGGAGAACAGCCATGGTTGTGCTACCTCCTGGGTTTGCTGACCTGGAACACGGGGAGAGCTGTGTCTGTGCCTCCTCCATCCCGTCCCTCTGAATGGCAGCACAGCGCGTACGGCTGCGTAGGTCCCACTTAGCGAGTTGTGAGCGAGTAAAGGTTAGTCTCACGTGTCTGTCCTCAACCGACTGGCCCTAGTGCTCATTGTGACTTCAGCTGTAGTACAGTGCTGCTCAGCCCTTCCATTTTATTCAGGAAACACGTGTAAGAGCTCTTGCTTTCTTGTATTTTTCTCTGTGATTTGCTTTCCCCTGTTACTTGTCTCTCACGGTAGTGGTGCCATCTCTGAACCTGTAATGTGTTTAAAGAAGTTAATGGGTAGCCCTGTACACAATGTAGATATTATTTTTGTAAAATCTAGGGCTGAGTTAATGGACAAGAGTACATCAGCTGTTCCCCCCCCTCGTTAAAGAATTCAAAGGTGGTTCTTGTCCATTAACCCTGACCATTATTTCCCTGTATATTATGTTAATGTAGCTCATTTTGTAATTTGTTAACTAGATCAGGTCACGTCAGCAATCGTTGATGCACTGATTGGTGGGAATGTCCATCAGTTACCTGAGTCACAACTCAAGCTAAACTCTACAACTGGTAGTTTAGAATCCATACATAGAAAAAGGTTCTCCCTATAATGGGAGAAGGTGATTTTTATGAATACAAAGTGTGTTAATTTCAGTTTTGTATGTTTAACTTTTATTAAATAAAGTGTTTAAAATCTGCTGGATATACTTGACAAAGTGAAATTGTATGTGGTGGTGGGGAGGTAAATAATCTGGGAAGTGGAAGTGTGGAACCTGCTGGAGAGAGTGCAGTGGACCAAAAGCACTTTGCACCCACTGCAAGATGGAGTAGGTGGGGTCTGATTCTTCATCTTTAGTGGTATTGTGGGGGGGAATTTGCACAGAGAAGCTTTCAAGAGTAAAATAACCTGACTTGTTCAGAAAGGAAGCGTGTACTGCAGGGTCAAGTCCCAGCAGTGATGTGACAAGAGAGAAGTGCAGGCACAGTGCTGCGGGTGTACCAGCCTCCCTCGCTCACACACAGTCCAGCCCAGGTTAAAACCAGCTGCTCTCAGGAACCCCTTCAGTTTTGTTGGGCTTTGCCAAAAAAAGTTAGCAAAAGCAGAGCGTTTCCTTTGAGTAACTTACAAGGTGGTTGCCTGATGAACCCAGCTGCAAAGAAATGCTGAAAGAAAGGGTTTGATTTTTAACTGCCTCACCTGGAAGAGACCAGGACACAGGGATGCACTGTTGTGACTTCTACAGAAGGGAGAATGTTCTGAAGACCCAACCTGCCACCTTGGCCGCACAGCCTGTTCCTTGGGGCACTTGGTTTATTTTTGATGCAGTTTCCTTGTGTGTAGTCTGGAACACTGCTATAATAAAGAAAGTGCCTTGAGAAAGTCGCACAGAAAACACAACTTGTGAGCCGAGCAATGCTGGTAATCACAGGAGGAGATCCAAACCAGTGAAGTGTTTTGAGACAAGTATTTTTGGAAAGGGATTGAATGGGAAGAATTTCCCCATCCTTAGCTAAGCCAAGTGCTAGCCAGAGTACTGGTAGCCCAAGTGAAGTGATGAGCTAGGGCTGCGTATGTTCTGACTAGCCACCACAGTGTGAAAGCCACCATGAAGTGCTTTAGATTCCTTCATGGTTTATCCTGCTTTGCTGCAATGTCCCTTGAGCTCAGAATTAATCCTTACTGAAATGCAGCCCCACTGCAACATCCATGACACGGGTGAGGCCTTATGGAGGGGTGAACTTGGCTCAATGCTGATGGCACATGCACGGAGCTGGTGCTTGGCTCACGAGGGTTTGTTCCAGCAGGAATCCCAAGGGGAGGAACAGATGAACCCCAAGCCTGCCTTCTCTCTAACCACCCCGGTAGCTATTGCCTTGTGGAGAAGGCATGCTAGAGCTTCCTGGAAGGCAACAGGAAATGCCAGTGTCCTCCCGCCCCACAGTCAGATGTGGAACATCCCGGAGGACCTTACTGCAGAGAATCCCAACCCAGAAGCACCTCTGAGGTGAGGTTATATTACTACTAGTGCTCAGAGCCACGTACTCATCACTCCTCTCTGCCTCCTATCTCTGAATTACCCCATCTCCAGCCTGTGAATGCCTTTCACAGCCTTAGAAGCACTGGCTGGGGCCACCCTGTGCTCCCCAGGAGCATACAGGAGCCGCTGCTTCCCCTTGATCAGCTCAAGACCAGCACAAGTCCTCTGCAGCACCTTGTTTCCTCTGCATAAATGCTGTATGCAGTGAAGCTTCAGTGCACGGCTGCAGCACAGCAGACCACAAGCCAGGCTGGACGGGGCTGGGAGCAATCTGGCTGGAAATACCTGAGCTTTAAGGTCCCTTCCAACCCAAACCTCACATGACATATCCCCCTTCCCAGGGGCTGCTCCCCAACTCCTGGTCATTGGTATTTTTGAAGGGACCCCCAACACTAGTGTCGCTCCTTACGAGACAACCCTAGTTCTAGTCCAACACAGCAACACCCTAAACAGAAACTGTTACTACCCATAAGACTCCTTATTTCTGCTTCTGACTGACAGTCAAAGGGATTAGTGCTTGTTTCAGAAGGAAATGAGCAGGAAAGCTGGGGTTAGTGCAATTAAACAACCTCTTGTGTTCATCATCCCAAACATCAATTCCAAGGAAATTTAAAGGCACATTGGTAGTTTCCAGATATTTTGTGTAGATGGTGAGCAGAGAGAAAGAAGAACACACTCCTCTTCCCCACCCATCCCACAGGACAGCTCAGAGACTATATCACAGACATGGAGGCGTTTCAGTCACTATCAGGTCACAGAATTTATCACTTACCAGAGAATCCATGGGACAAAGCCCCAGGAAAACACACCAGACTTTATTCTGCTATTTATGGACATCTTTTTCATTACCATCACCTCCCTAACATCAGAATGAAGTCCTGGGTTTTACCATTCTCTTCCAGGAAGTGATCCCATGTTTCTCTTTCCAACAGCTGATGCCAGAAAATGTGCTACAAGAAAAGATGCTGAGAGGGGAAAAAAACCCCATAAATTACTACCTCTACTTAGTGCACACGACACATTCCCCTGAAGCCAAATGTTCCATCCATTTCAAGAAGGCAACACAGAAACACAGACCACAAACAGGGAGCAGCGAGTACCAGCAAACAGGGAGCTGGAGAGCAGGAGCTCACAGACCAGAACAAGATGGTAGCAAACACCACAAAGGAAAACACAAGCACCCAGGGATAAGGCAGCTCTGTCCAGTTAACCCTTTTGCTATTGACCTACAGACTTCTTGAGGCAGATGGATTTGAGACCACCTTCGGCATGACGTGCCTCTAATGGAACAGCCATTACAGTGACCTTCAAGGGACAACAGGATAACTGTGACAAATGCAGCCAGGGAGTCACTGCCACCGAGATGACATGCTGTAATATGCTTGTGTCAGGAAAAGGAAAGTGCTGGATGGCTTTTGTAATGGGTTTTTCCATAGCAAAAGGACCCACAAAGAATCTAATTTACAGAGGGAGAGCTTGATGGAGTGAGTTTAGAAGGGAGCTGAGCATGTGCATCCACTGTGTGGGCAAGTTGCTCAAGGTAAGCACATCCAGTTCTGGTTTTTACAGGAAAAGTCACCATATTCTTCTGAAATGAAGCAAAAAAATAGATGTAGCACTTCTGTTACTCTATAAACACAAACACAAAGCAGAAAAACAACGGCACCCGTAAAGGAAGCCATAAAAACACCCCTCACACCATTTGGCAAAGATGAAAGGAGAACGTAATTCCATCCCAAATTACCACGTGGTGAAAAGCACACTTATTCTGGATGAAACTATAGCTAATGTGGTTGGCAGAGCCTCAGGCCACAGAGGAGAGGACCGGGAGTGAAGTGAAACACTTCACTCTCTGCTTGTGAAGGAGTAAAGCAATGCCTTAGAAGCAGCACATTGTTGTGCATTAAAAAATGCTAGAGTTGGGAACCTGAACAGCAACATGCTTTCAGTGCCTTTATCTTCTGGAATGAATGGAAGTAAGTCTCTCCTTCTTCTTCTTCTATATTTAAGGGCGGCATCTGGACAAAACAGGCACTAAAGCTTCCATGAGCACTTTTCTGGGGAAAACCTGTGAATTTGACTTGTTCTACTGGATCTCTCAGAGTTCAGTTCTGTGAGAGACCATCTCACCTTCCAAAGGGGAAGAGAGACTTGACCCTCATGGGTCTGGATCTGCACCTCTGGATACTCAACAGTGTTTTACAAGATTTCAGGGTGGCCAGTAGAAGCTTTGATGGTACTCTGAAAAGTGACAGGACTTTAAAGCAAACCTGGCACACGGCTTGTCCCAACAGGGACAGCTGAAGAGATTCA